GAGATATCTTGTTACAGAACGGAAGTTGTCTTCGTTGTTAACTTGGAGTTTTGTTTCCAATATGTTTCCTCTTTTTAGGGTATTGATATAGAAGTGGTTAGGCCCGATTACTTGTTTAAGCTTATTAATCAGATCGACACTGTTATGTTTCCTAATATATATTGGCGGTGGCTTTACAGCTTTCATGACTTGAGGCGCCTGACCCTTGTCTTCTTCGGTCTCGCCAAGTATGGCAAATCTGTTTTCGGATGTTCGTGTGTTGCCTAAAGTTTTTGGTACTTTTGGCCAATTTGAGTTTACGTTTTTTTGTGGACTAAGCTTTCTTTTTATTTGTACATACCGATCGATCCCCGTCTGTACGAGAGTATTATTCGTAAGAGGGTCAGTAGAGCAAAGTTTTACTTGTGGTGTTGAGATAGGCCACTGGGTAGCCGCAGACGTTAAAGTTGTTGTTGTCGTTGACGTTGCTGTAGTAAGAGAGGGTACAGTGCTGGTGGGCGCACAAGCCGAAGTAGTCGGTGCATCGATGAGAGAGAGAGGTGACGGGCATTGTGAACTCCACGACTGAGTAACGGAAGCGCTGCTTGAGCATAAAATCGCTGGTGACAGTGAGCGGGCTCTTTCGGCAGCGGTCAGTGAATGGAATACTGTGAAAAAATTTGGCTGCTCTTGCTCTTACGGTTTGGGCTGTGGCCGTATCCCCTTAAAAATCGGTCTTTCATTTTATAATCTTTAGGGATTAACTTTAATTATTTTTTGTAATGGTATTTCGAAGCAAAAAATTACAATCATAAAGCAGAGTCAGGGGGTGGAAAAGAGATGGAGATATATATATGCAAGCGTATGCTGGATATGACGGCTACTTTTTAATCGGGTATTAAAAATAGTAAAAAGTTAAAAATTGAAGCCGTCATATTTTTTAAACATTTATTATGCTTTTAACTATTTTTAAACGAAAACACGGATTCGATTGGTTAAACGGTTTAGCGTACAGGATTTCATTTTCTAATTAAATGAGTTTTGGGCACTTTGGTGGGGGGTGGGTACCCAATAACTATAAACTAAAGTCTACAGAAATTAAAACCGTATTAAAGCTCATTTTATATTTTTAAGAAAGTGCAGGGAAATGCAAGGCAGTGGAAGAGGGAGGGAGACGGAATCATTTGTTGACAATTTGTATGAAAATGCAGAGAGAAATAGCAATATGAAGGCAGAAAACATATGATGCTTATGGAGACTCTTAACTTCGATAATAGATCGACTTTTTGCTTAGTTTCATTGTTTAGAAGATAGCTAGAGCTTTGGTGAAACCATCAAATGAATCGTTAAAGATTAAGGAAAAACTTTACCGAAGGAATTTTTGATACTCAGTTTAGAAGTGCCATTTTTCGATGTTTGAAGATATTTTTGGCTAAATTGTAATTTTAGAACGGGTGTTAAAAATAGTAAAAAGGCTTAAATCTAAGCGGTTTTTAAACATTAATAATGTCTTAAACTATCTTTGGGCGAAAACACGGATTCGATTGGTTAAACAGTTTAGCGTCCAGAATTTTTGAAAGGAAAATTTACCTTTTTTCTAATTGGAAGCGATTGGGGCCACTTGGGGAGTCCCAATAAATCTTAGCAAATCAGTTTAAAGTTATTAGAATGTAATAAAAATTCATATTAATATTGTTAACCAGTGGTTTTGGCTGTGCGTTGATTCCCAGTTTTCTTACTGATAGCTTTATATATAGAGATGAATGAATTCCCTTGGTTGATCGAATACGTGTGTGTATTTCTGTGTGGGCTTTTGCATAGTCAAGCAGAGTCAGGGGGTGGAAAAGAGATGGAGATATATATATGCAAGCGTATGCTGGATAAGACGGCTACTTTTTAATTTAAAAAAAGTAAAAAGTTAAAAATTAAGGCCGTCATATTTTTTAAACATTTATCCCTAAAGATTATAAAATGAAAGACCGATTTTTAAGGGGATACGGCCACAGCCCAAACCGTAAGAGCAAGAACAGCCAAATTTTTTCACAGTATTCCATTGGGGGCGTGGGCGCCCACTAAGATCCGATATGCCCCCCAGTGGCCCCAAACAGCTCCAACATCCATTATTCTGAGCAAAAAAAAGTTGATGTATTTAAGCTTAACTTCTAAACTGGTTGGAATTTCGATATTTGGCTTTTTCCAAATTTTAGGTTTTGAAAAGGCCTAATTAGAAATCTAAAAGAAATTTCGATATCCCCCATAATTTGGGGGCTACACTTAAAATTAACTTTTCGATTTAAAAAATCTAAGCCGCTGCTCCGATCAAGATGATTTTTCGCTCAATAGTTATTCTATGGCCCAAATGCTTAAGTTTAATTTTTCAAGTTTTTAAAATTTTTTAAAGTATTTTTAACGAATTTATTTAGATTTTCTAAGTCATTGCGTTGCATTTTGCGGGAGCCTTTCGAGAGAACGAAACCCAGAAGCCAAGAGAGCGACGGCCGAGAGAGCAACAGCCAAGAAAACTGATGATGGTGAGTGGTGGTAGTGCTGCTTGGAAAGGGGAGGGGAAAGAGGCAATTTAAGTTAAATTTGTTTAGGATTTTAAAAACTTAAACTGCTGCTCCGATCAATATGATTTTCGATCAATAGTCAGTCCTGTGGATCAAATGCTTAGGTTTTATTTTTCATTTTGTAGCAGAAGTAAGAGCCTTATTTAATTTACACCATGGAAGAAAATATAAAATTACTACAAATTCTGTAAGCAAAGCCAAAATGTTTCCAAGTTAAATATTAATCTTAAGATTCGAACTTTTGACCAAATACGTATGTACATATGTATATTTGGATATGTTTTGATTTGCTTATATGTACAATACATGTACATACATACAATGTGTGTGTATGTTTCTATTCGAAAGTAGATAATGTGCTTAGATACAAATAAAATGATTTATTATACCCGTTTATCGAGCAAATGTGGAATCTGAAAATAATACGTTACTTTGCTGTTTTTGTATTGAATGCCAATCTTTTACTGTGTGTACAAAGGTTTTCGTTTCATTCAAAACAAGAAATTTGAAAACAACAAATTCCAATTTACAAACAAGTATACATATTTGTGCGCAAATTAAAATTGCATTGATAACATTGTAACTGATAAAAAGTATACAAGCTCACGACTTTTACTTGGATCACTTTCATCCCTAAAGATTATAAAATGAAAGACCGATTTTTTAAGGGGATACGGCCACAGCCCAAACCGTAAGAGCAAGAGCAGCCAAATTTTTTCACAGTATTCCATTGGGGGCGTGGGCGCCCACTTAGATCCGATATGTCCCCCCAGTGGCCCCAAACAGCTCCAACATCCATTATTCTGAGCAAAAAAAGTTTATGTATTTAAGCTTAACTTTAAAGTGGTTGGAATTTCGATATTTGGTTTTTTCCAAATTTTAGGTTTTGAAAAGGCCTAATTAGAAATCTAAAAGAAATTTCGATATCCCCCATAATTTGGGGGCTACATTTAAAATTAACTTTTCGATTTAAAAAATCTAAACCGCTGCTCCGATCAAGATGATTTTTCGCCCAATAGTTATTCTATGGCCCAAATGCTTAAGTTTAATTTTTCAAGTTTTTAACATTTTTTTAAGTATTTTTAACGAATTTATTTAGATTTTCTAAGTTATTGCGTTGCATTTTGCGTGAGCCTGTCGAGAGAGCGAAACCCAGAGAGCGGATGCCAAGAGAGCGACGGCCGAGAGAGCAACAGCCAAGAAAACTGATGATGGGGAGGGGTAGTGCTGCAGGGAAAGGGGAGGGGAAAGAGGCAATTTAAGTTAAATTTGTTTAGGATTTTAAAAACTTAAACTGCTGCTCCGATCAATATGATTTTCGATCAATAGTCAGTCCTGTGGATCAAATGCTTAGGTTTTATTTTTCATTTTGTAGCAGAAGTAAGAGCCTTATTTAATTTCCACCATGGAAGAAAATAGAAAATTACTACAAATTCTGTAAGCAAAGCCAAAATGTTTCCAAGTTAAATATTAATCTTAAGATTCGAACTTTTGACCAAATACGTATGTACATATGTATATTTGGATATGTTTTGATTTGCTTATATGTACAATACATGTACATACATACAATGTGTGTGTATGTTTCTATTCGAAAGTAGATAATGTGCTTAAATACAAATAAAATGATTTATTATACCCGTTTATCGATCAAATGTGGAATCTGAAAATAATACGTTACTTTGCTGTTTTTGTATTGGATGCCAATCTTTTACTGTGTGTACAAAGGTTTTCGTTTCATTCAAAACAAGAAATTTGAAAACAACAAATTCCAATTTACAAACAAGTATACATATTTGTGCGCAAATTAAAATTGCATTGATAACATTGTAACTGATAAAAAGTATACTAGCTCACGACTTTTACTTGGATCACTTTCATTTATTATATAGCTCTGCCAGTATCCTTCTGATTCTCTCTCTTGAAGGATCTTCTACAAAGGTTGTTTACACAAAGGTTTTTAAAAAACGCCCAAATAAGAAATAAGAAAGTCCTGACAACCTTATTTCCTAACTCTAAACTAATATTAAGCGAACGAACAAAAAGTCGTATACAATACAATTTTACAAAGCGTTGGGGCTGAGATGGGTGAAATATTTTTTTTTGGATGCACCTGGAGGGACAGGTAAAACCTTCTTGACAAACTTATTGTTGGCAAAAGTTCGAAGTTAAAAAAAATGGCCCTAGCTGTAGCATCTTCCGGTATAGCTGCTACCCTGCTCAATGGAGGTCGAACTGCTCATTCTACATTTAAACTTCCTTTGGATTTAGTTAATTTAGAAACACCTCATTGCTCTATTTCAAAGCAATGTAATATGGCTGCGGTGTTTAAAGATTGTAAGTTAATTGTTTGGGATGAGTGCACAATGTCACATAAAGGTGGGCTTGAAGCCATAAATAGAACCCTGCAAGATATTAATGAGAATACTATGTTGATGGGTGGTATTACAGTCCTGCTAGCTGGAGACTATCGCCAAACCTTTCCTGTTGTGATATGCAAGCGTATGCTGGATAAGACGGCTACTTTTTAATCGGGTATTAAAAAAAGTAAAAAGTTAAAAATTCAGGCCGTCATATTTTTTAAACATTTATTATGCTTTTAACTATTTTTTAGCGAAAACACGGTATCGATTGGTTTAACGGTTTAGCGTACAGGATTTCATTATACCCTTGCAGAGGGTATTATAATTTCAGTCAAAAGTTTGCAACGCAGTGAAGGAGACATTTCCGACCCTATAAAGTATATATATTCTTGATCAGCATCAGCAGAAGAGTCGATCTAGCCATGTCCGTCTGTCCGTCCGTCTGTCCGTCTGTCCGTCCGTCCGTTTCTACGCAAACTAGTCCCTCAGTTTTAAAGCTATCTGCTTGAAACTTTCCCAAAAGTTGTCTTTCTATTGCAGGTAGTATATAAGTCGGAACGAGCCGGATCGGGCCACTATATCATATAACTGCCATATAACTGAACGATCGGAAATGCCATAACTTTGATGTTTTTAAAGTTAGGAAGTTGGGATTTTCTATGGGTTTTATTTTTGGCCGATCAGTCTGACCTACCAAATTTCATAAGGATCGACTGACTATATCCTATAACCGCCATATAACTGATTGATCGGAAATGCCATAACTTTGGTGTTTGTAAAGTTAGGAAGTTGGGATTATCTATGGGTTTTATTTTTGGCCAATCAATCCGACCTGCCAAATTTCATAAGGATCGGCCGACTATATCCTATAGCTGCCATATAACTGAACGCTTGGAAATGACATAACTTTGGTGTTTTTAAAGTTAGGAAGTTGGGATTTTTTATGAGTATTAAGAATGCATCATATGAATAACCGATCCGGTTTTGGAGAATATAATTTACAGAATATTCTGCAAGGGTATATTAACTTCGGCTCCGCCCGAAGTTAGCTTTCTTTCTTGTTTTCTAATTGAATGAGTTTGGGGCACTTTGGTGGGGGGTGGGTCACCAATAACTATAAACTAAAGTCTACAGAAATTAAAACCGTATTAAAGCTCATTTTATATTTTTTAGAAAGCGCAGGGAAATGCATGGCAGAGGGAGACGGAGGGAGACGGAATCATTTGTTGACAATTTGTATGAAAATGCAGAGAGAGATAGCAATATGAAGGCAGAAAACGTATGATGCTTATGGAGACACTTAAATTTGATAATATATCGACTTTTTGCTTAGTTTGTTGCAGTTGGAGTCGATAGTGGGATGGACTCTATCGATAGGTTAGGATGATAAAGCGATGGTTTTAGTGGCGCCCCCTTCTGCTCATGCCCTTGGCTATCTAGCTATTAATGCCCTCTTCCCATAGAGTCCATCCGTTCGAAACGGTTGGGATTTTTGACAAATGTGAAACACCGATTCCCACAGAGCACATCCACCATCCACCATCCGATAACAGCTGATCTGAACAGCTGTGCCTAAACAAAAAACAAGCGACCATTGTTGAAGTTTATTCTGCGGCATTAATATGAACAACATACCAATCATTTTGGCAGCTGTACAACAGCAAAACCTCAAGCTGATTGAGCAATTTTTGACACTCAATTCAGGGGAGAAGCATGAGGAGGAATTGGAGGATTTAGAAAGGATTTTTTCTGGAAAGGAGCAAATGCCTCGAAGCGTGTGGATGCTAGTAAGTGCTATACATTTTCTATTAAAAATACTATTAAACTATGCGTTTTATATTAAACAGAAGCGTTACGGGACATTTTGGGAGAAGGATGTGCAGGAAAACAACGAAATGTTCTTCAAGGAAAGCTTTCGAATGGAGAAGAGGACCTTTTCGTTTTTGGTGGACCGACTAGGTGTTTTGCGGAAGAAGAACACGAACTGGCGAAAAGCAATTCGTCTTGAAAAGAGGATTGCTATAGCCTTATACACCTTGGGATCATCCGCGGAATATCGTTCCATCGGAAGGCTGTTTGGAGTCGCACAAAACACTGTGTGCAAAATTCTTCATGAATTTTGCGGGGCACTCATTTTAGAGTTTGCCGACGAGTTCATGTCACCCGACTACTTAACTCCTGAAAAAGTGGACGAATGCGTCAAAGGGTTCGAAGAAATTGGATTTCCTCAGTGTTTAGGTGCAATTGGTAAGACATAATTTCATCAAATCAGATCACGGTTATAGCAATATATAATTTTTAGATGGTTGTCATATCGAAATAAAGCCGTTAGCAGCAGAAGCAGTCGATCACCACAATTACAAAGGCGGGTACTCAATAGTACTATTCGCACTCGTGGATTACAGCTAAGCTATCCTCTTTTAAAAGCTCAAAAATCTTATAATCGCATTGTATTTTAAATTTATTACAGATACAGATTCACCTATGTGAATATCGGCTCTGCTGGGCGCTGCCACGACTCGGCTATTTTCCAAAAGTCTAGCCTGGCAAGAAAACTTGCCTCTTCTCCGTTCCTTCAGGAAAAATCAAGGGAAATTTGTGGCGTACAAGTTCCTGTGCTGCTTATTGGGGACTCTGCCTTCCGATTTTCCCAAACACTGATGAAGCCGTACCCATTTTCAACAACTGCATCCGAGGAACAGCAATATTTTAATTACAATTTGTCCAAAGCTAGGCAAGTTGTAGAGAATGCATTTGGCCATTTAAAGGCAAGGTTTCGGTTTATTGGAAAAGGTCTTGACAGCCATTACAAAAATAACAATGCAGTCATTTTAGCCTGTTGCATTTTGCACAATATTTTAAATGAGCACAACAGCGCTATAAATGATGCTTGGCAACAGACTGCAAGTGACCTAAGGGAGCAACCAAATCGGACTAATATGTCTGCAGATTTTAGCCCGCCTGCCGAAAAAATAAGATCAGCTATTGCCCAATATTATTTGAATGGCTCCGAATAAAGTTCATTAAATATCAATTTGTTTGTTTTTTGATTTATTTTATTTTCATTTGAATTTTTTAATTTTTTGATTTTCTTAACAGGTCTAACAAATCAGACTGGAATTGAGCTTGGCTGTCTGCCATTCTCGACAGGATTTCAGTCTGCCTCCTGGTGCTCCAGCCTTTGTTGAGCTATCTCCAAAAGCTCGTCCTTGTGGTCAACCTTCGTTCGCTTTGCAGGAGGGGCAGTGCTGCCTGAGGCTTGACTTGAACTGCAGATGTCACCTCCACAAAGTATTCTTTGGCACCTGCAATAAATAAATACATATTAGTTAATTGTAAACCACAAATATAAGTCTGAATACATACTCTCGTTATCCACAGTGTTCTGCTCGGTGTTGTGGATGCGGAATGCCCCTAGGAAGGAGTGGAGGACATCATAGTGCTGCCAAACGGAAGGAGCCCCACCGCTTGGCCCGATTTTATTTTTTTCCTGCCTGGAAAGAATAATACCGGGGAATGGATTGCCATACATTGTTGCTCGCCTATAATTACTTGTACTTCTTTGTCATATTTTCGATTTTGGTCCGGACATCCTTGTATGACACATCAAATCCGGCTTCCATAAGGGACTGGGCCATCTCCATGTATACATGGACATTTTTTCTGACTCCCCGCAACTGATCAATGTTCTCCTGCCAAATATCAATTAGCAGGAGCTCCATCTGCACCGTCCACCTCAACTTGCCACCGGCGGTACGCGTATTATCGACTGTGAAATGAAAAACAATGAATTATTACAATTATAAAAATAATTTGTTGCTCATACCTGTTGCTTCGGCACCTTCCATTTTCAAAAGTTCCCTGTCATTATTGTTTACATTTTCGTAGTGAATGTTCCAATTTCCACTATCAAGAAGAAGAACTCAGAGTTGCACCAAAAAAACATCGCCTAACTATCGCATAAAAAACTCCGTCAAATTCGGATGGGGAATTAACTGGGAATTTTCGGAACGGCAAAACCTTATGGACCATCCGTTCAACGGATGGTGGATGGTGGATGGAGCTCTGTGGGAAGAGGGCATTAAACTAGCCCGGTTCGCTCTGGGTATGGCTAGGATGGCCTTGGATTCGTCCATTGACCCACTTTTGGGTCATGATACAAAAAAAAAGTAAGGGTGCGAAAAGTGCTGGTGTCGTGTGGAAATTAAGTAGATATTTATTCATTTTAGGTGCACCGGGGACCCTAGTACATAGGGCCCCGGCAGTTTTCTTTGTTTTTCGTCGTTTTTCGAAGTTTTTTTTTCCTCGGAGGAAGGGCAGCAGCCCTCGTGGAGTACTCCGCCACCAGTAGCAGCATCAGCAAAAGGCGGCGGCAGCAGCAGCAGTAGCAACAGTAGCAACAGTAGCAACAGCAACAGCCACAGGCACAGTAACGGCCATCACCATCAACCAACACCGCCGCAGACAGTTAGGTTATTTAACCACAAAAAAATTCAAATTTACCTCGGTGAGTCCGTTCCGGCCCATATAATCCGAGCAGCACAACGTCGCGACCACGACGCGACTGCCCTACCACGCGGCATCTCGGACATCACGGTCTGCAGTGGCCTAGGCACGGCGTAATACCGGTTACCGGACCGCCACATCCCTTTATAAGGGTCCCAAATTGTCCTCCGGTGACTCGCCACTGGCTTACTGCCGGTGCCTAGCCTAGAAGTGGCTGAAAATTATGAATGTTAAATAAATGTGCACATTACTAAATTTATATACTTACCTGTTGACCTGTAAATTTATCCGGACTTAGACCCGAAAACCTAAATTTGTTTAGGATTTTAAAAATTTAATAGTCAGTCCTGTGGATCAAATGCTTAGGTTTTATTTTTCATTTTGTAGCAGAAGTAAGAGCCTTATTTAATTTCCACCATGGAAGAAAATAGAAAATTACTACAAATTCTGTAAGCAAAGCCAAAATGTTTCCAAGTTAAATATTAATCTTAAGATTCGAACTTTTGACCAAATACGTATGTACATATGTATATTTGGATATGTTTTGATTTGCTTATATGTACAATACATGAACATACATACAATGTGTGTGTATGTTTCTATTCGAAAGTAGATAATGTGCTTAAATACAAATAAAATGATTTATTATACCCGTTTATCGATCAAATGTGGAATCTGAAAATAATACGTTACTTTGCTGTTTTTGTATTGGATGCCAATCTTTTACTGTGTGTACAAAGGTTTTCGTTTCATTCAAAACAAGAAATTTGAAAACAACAAATTCCAATTTACAAACAAGTATACATATTTGTGCGCAAATTAAAATTGCATTGATAACTGCTTACGCCGCTCTCCCCTCTTTTAAACTGCCCGCGCTATCCTCGTAGCGAATGCCCACTCGCCCGCACTGGATGCTCGCGACTCCAGGCTCTCCCGCTCTCCCGCACTGGACGCTTGCGATTCCAGGCTCTCCCGCCTTCCCGCTCCCGGAATCTCTCCACTGCGCTTTGAAACGCAGCGCTCAATTAGGTTTAAGTTAGTCTTTCATTGTCTCAATAGTGAAATACATCGCCCGGCCGGTCCGCGCTATAACACGAAAAAAGTTCACCGAGTCTTTTTGTTCCTTTCTCGCGATCGTCGAGTGTTTTATCAATCTATTTCACAGCTTGCCACCCGGCTACGTTCAACAGCCGCAACGCCCGACGAAGCTGCCTTCCATCGACAAACACCCGCGACGCCCCATCTCTTCATTTTTGGTCCTTCGAGCCGGATAAGTGCCAATTAATTAATTTTTGTATTAACTGCCGATCGACAGTCAGCCATTCGAAGAACATAATTCGTTTGACTTTCTGTACGATTTGTCTAAAATCCAAGTCCGATTTAATCCGACGACGGCAGTTAGTAAATTACAATTCCAATTCCGTCTTTTATTTCTTCGTTCTCTTTTAACGTGCGGCCATATTGCCTATTTTCTAATCCCTTTTCGTGTGCATATTGATGTACAAGTTTCATATTCGCATTTGGCCGTACATCCACTAAATATACATCCAACATCAAATCGAAGAAAAATAAAAAGTAGAAATCCAAATTAAAGTGTGCAAATAAAAAGTCAAGCGTACAGTAAAAAAAAAAATTAATTAAAAAAAAAAAAATTCAGTGAACAGTGAAAAAATAAATCAATTTAAAAATTGAGTTCAAATTAATTTTCCACAAAAAAGTGGAACAAAAAAGTAAGTGTTCCGCCAATTTCGGCCCACAAATATTTTTTGATATTAATTTTTTATTGTACATCCGCTGTGACAATATTTGCTTACATTATTACAAATCCAAATACAGTCCACAATAAATCGAAAATTTACAACACATACCCGCCGGCAAAATTTACAATAAAATTTTCCGCCATATTGATTACATATATTACATCCATATTACATATATTACATCCATATTACATATATTACATTCATATTACATATATTACATATTCCATATATATATACATACATTTATACATATTTTTCTACACAACTACACCCCAATTCCGAAAGCTCAAGTATTTCCGTCGGCCATCCAATATATATAAATTCCTAAAGCCGACGTGAAATAACTTTTGTGTCTCAGTGTGTTTTACTTATTTACATATTTTGGGCACTATCCATCCATACATCTACACATACACGCGAATTGCAGTACCGCAAAAAGCTCGATAATCCCGCGCATTCCAGCGTCACCAATACACAGCCCGCAAAAGTTCGGGCAGTTGTTTTTCAATCATCCCATAAATAAATTCCAACAAAATTAATAAACACCAAGTTCAACTCCAATAAAATTAAACAAATACTGAGAATTACTGCCAGTTCCAAAAAAGAAAAAAAAAAGGGGGAGAAATATAAAATACTGTCGCCATCGCGAAACTAGTGGAATTAATTTATTAATTTATTGATTTTATTAATTTGTTTCTTCGGTTTCACATTTTTTTTCCAAAAAAAAAAAAAAAAAACGCCCTTTCCAGTATTTTTTTTCTTATTTATTGAGCTTGGTAAATCTTCATATATATCGATACTCAATTTTTTCTTTTGGGGATAAAAAAGAAAAATTCGAAAAAAATACCACCCGTTTGTTTTTTTTGTCTCCGAATATTTTTAAAATAAAGAAAAACAAAACCAATAAACTCCAAACACTGCCGGGGACATCCAATCCCATCCTAATTCGGCCACCTACCCCCTATAAAATACTAAACGACAAATACCTCATCAAATACAGTATTTTTCAGTATTTTTATTTTGTGGTATTTTTTTGGTATTTTTTCCATTCTTGCTCCATCGTTCCACCAAAAGCCTGGGGAATATTTTAACCATAATTCAGCCACGCATATCGACTATTGTCGATACCCTATTTCCACCGGTCCATAAGTGGGTCCGTAATTGTTTCGCTGATTTTTGTCCGAAATATCAGCGCGCACATTCCATCCTAACAACAGTCCTAGTTTGGTATGTCCGGGGAAAGTTCCAACAAACTATCCCCTGTTCCATCACCGAAAATACCAAAAATCACGGTAAGGACGCCCACACCTAAAAAGGTCAAGACGCCACCTCCCAAAAAGGCTCCTTCTTCCATCGAAAGAACCACGCGAGCCAGCACAAAAATGGTTGCAACGGCTGCCGACCTCGCTATGAGCCAGTTTATTGAAGTCTCGGATCGACTGTCCGAATTGGAATCGCGGATAAATATTCCCTCGGCGGTCCCTCCTACGTTATCCGTCCTCAATATTCGCCGAGACAAAATCCGAGAGGTATGGATCCGCATCAAAAAAGAATACGATGCCTGTACCGCATGCCTTGTAGCAGCCGGAGAAGGTGCAGCTGACAGCTTGCCAGTCCTCAAGGCTAAGTACGGGTATTGCTACAGCGCGTACGAAAGGTGCGGTGCCCAGATAGCAGACATGATAGCGCAAACTCCGCAACTTCCGCAACCTTCCCCAACGCCAGCTGATCCTTTTCAGACATACATTCCGTCAGGCTGCCGGCTTCCGCCGTGCGATACCGAAGTTTTTACCGGCGACTATCTTCGTTGGCCAACCTTTAGGGATCTATTCACGGCAATTTATATCAACAATCCCAGACTCACTCCTGTCGAAAAATTATTTCACCTTAATGCTAAAAAGAGTGGCGACGCTCACAATATAGTTTCAAATTCACCCCTTACTAATGATGGCTTTCGATCAGCGTGGGATAACCTCACTGAGCGTTTCGAAAACAAGCGATTGTTAGTAAACAGTCAATTAAAGATACTTTTCAATGTACCGTCCGTCACACAGGAGTCTGGGTCAGCTTTGAAAGAACTTCAAAGTACCATCCAGGGTTGCCTTACTGCACTAGAAATGTCCGGTATTCAGGTCGAAACTTGGGATTGCCTCTTGGTATATATGTGCTCGTCCAAACTCCCAAAGCTTACGCTTTCCCTATGGGAGCAGTCCCTCCATAACAAAGCCGAGATCCCTACGTGGCACGAGCTGAACGTTTTCCTAACGGAGCGTCACAGGACACTAGAAGCCATAGATGATGTTCGACCATCAGGTTCTAGTCAGACCCAGCCCAGGGCATCCACTTCCAACTCGGCGTCTCGAAGAATAAATTCATACGAGACAAGGGTAGCACCTAGGCAACTTAGAGGGTGCGATCTCTGTAATAGAGAGAACCATCCTGTACGCACATGCGCCAAATTTCTCCAGATGACGGTCGACCAACGCATCGCATATATAAAAAGAAAACAGCTGTGTTTAAACTGCTTTGCGCGGACACATCAGTTGCGCGACTGCGAAAGCGCACATAACTGCTTCACGTGCCGCGGCCGCCATCACACGCTCCTACACCGAGGCAGCCCATCCCCAGCGCGCGAGTTATGGTAAAAACCAAAACGATGAATTCCTTCTTCGTAGAGTTGGTGGTGGTGTTTATAAGTTTTAAGTATTATTTGTATCGGGAACGGTGGATGGAAAATATAAAACTCGACTTCCTTCAGTTTTGTCAAATTCAAGACTGACTTCTATAATATTCAGCAGTGGCCAAGAAACCGCTGCTGCCAAAAGTACATAGTTCTTATATATCTTACATACTAATACAAAGTGCATAAACATAAGTGTATAGTTCGAGTGTCGCTGCCTCGAGTGGCGATCCGCTGAGTCGGTGTCGCATTTCCTGGTTGAGAGGAGTTGGGGTTTCCTCTCAAGTGCAGTGTTGACAAAAATGGGTCCAAGAGCAACGACTGGCCCTTTGGTCGGTCGTTGTTCTAAATATCAATTAAATCTAAAGTTGCAACACTTTAGTTTATGTGTGTCGATACTAGGGTAGCTCGGGGTGGTTTCGTTGGGGGCTCAGCGTGCCGTGCCTGTACGGTAACTCCTCCCCCCCTGGATTGAAGTGATGGCCAGAACGAAGGGGTGGACATCACGAAACTTGTCTCGGGTAATGATGGGGTGTAGACGATCTTCTTATTTCGGGTAATCACTATAAATATGATAATTCCTCCAATGATCAGCAGTAAATATAATGTTCCAAAATTAGTCGTTGTAATCTTCTTTAAGTATAATATGGAATTTTGGTCATCAATAGTCTTTAGATTTAGTTTATGTAGACTTATG